CGCACACTAATTTGCATAAAGCCATGGTCTGTTCCAAATAAGTCTTTTTGGACTTAGCAAAAACCGCGTTTCCTATCGTTTCTCTACCACCGAGACTGTAGTTTAGCCGAACTTAGTTTAACAGATATTTCACACTTTCACATATCAACTACATAAATTGTAGAGATAAATGAGAAAATACAGTTTTTTTCTATTTCCGACAGTACTATAGGAACAATGGGGATTTACATTACTTTTGCTACCTGCATGGACCCTAGCTGGCTTTACACCATCCCTTCAGCCACTGGTGATTGAAGACAAATCTAGCCTTGAAATTAAAAGCACACATATTCGACGATTAAAAAAGTGGCAAGTTTAAATTTACTTGAAATGTTTTGGGACTTACGTACCCTCTCAGGAGGACAATAATTTTACAATACTTCAACACCCTTTGAGGGCACAGCCACTAACAATCGAAGTTGATAAACTAAACTACCAATTATAAAACCTTATCTATTTACAAAACGAATATCAAAATTCATTTAACAAATCTATCTCTTTTAAAAAATCAATGATTAAATGATAATAAAATTATTAAAAAGGTCCTTTTCCTGAAACCACATTGAATATTTGTTATAAGATTATTGGTTTCAAGATACCATGTTAATCTATTGTTTACCATTCGTTCCATGGTTTTACAAACACAATTCGTTCAAGAGATTGGTCTGTAATTAGACGGATCCGTATGATCCCGGCCAGGTTTTGGAATGGGGACTACAATGGCATTACGCCATGAAGTTTGGAAATTCCCTGTAGTCCATATCATATCAAACATATTTGAGTGAGTGAGTGAGTTAGGATGTTAAGTCACATCGGCAATATTTCAGCCATATCGTGACTAAAGCAAGTTATAAATATATCAACAATTTAAGTGAAATTATAAAATTCTGCCGACGAAGGACAGTAAAATAACTAGATTATCAAAGATATAGATATAAAACTAGTAACTAAATCTAAAACATTTGAACTATACAAGACGATACAATGTAAAAAACAGGCTATTGATCGCAAACAACTGAAGGTAGATCACCATACTAGGGACCATGGGGACTTACAGTACATTTGCTTCCTGCATGGACCCTGGCTGGATTTACACCATCCCTTCAGCCGTTAGCAATTTAGCAAATCTAGCCATACATTAAAAGAACAGGTACTCTACGATTAAAAAGTGGAACGTTTTAATTTACTTCGAATGTTGTGGGACTTACATACCCTCTCAGGAGGACAATAATTTTACAGTACTTTAACCCCCCTCGAGGATATCAAACATATTTAACAGCGTTTCCAAACATGATTCGGGCAATGCTTCAGGAGCTGATAGTGGCTATCATCAGCCCCTGTTGCCGTAGCATGAGCTTGCTCAAGGGCGGTATGGAGCCAATGTAATGAAAATAATTTAATATAATCTTCACCATTGTCTGAGTTAAAATTGATTTTTTTCTTCTTCTTGTTTCTGATATTTTTGAAACTCAGAGACATACTTGGATGATGAAGAATGTTTAGCAAGAGTTTCGCCAATTTCATTTGCAAATTTAACCTTCTTAGTTGATAGATTATCACCATCCTTCAGATGGTGTACAGTAGATTTAGAACCTTTGCCCTTTATTGTTTGGACCATGTTCCACACCTTTGACACAGGTGTACGTGAATTTATTTTGGAAAAATAGTTCCTCCAAGACTGACGTTTATTCTGTTTAAATGCGCGTCGAGCCTTGGCATTTGAAATTTAACTTTGTCTTAATTAAGGACTGTAGGATGTTTGCTAAAATATTTTTCCGCTTTCCTCCTGCACTTTCTGGCCTGTTTACAATCATTATTACACCATGGTTTACGAATATTTGGAGTTGCAGAGGACTGTGGAATTGCTCTGTCAGCAATGTCATTTAAAATATCTGAAAACGACTGTATAGGATCTTCACTGTTCCTAAAAAGATCATGCTTTAAGCGTTTAACACACAGAGTCTCATATAATAACCAATCAGCCCTTCAAGCTCCTTCTTGATAAGGTGGATCATCACCAGGGTTGATTGTTTTGAGAATGGTGGGGAAGTGATCACACCCACATAGGTCATCATGGACCATCCATTCAAATTCATGACATAAGATTGAATCGGTGAGTGATAGATCCAGGGAAGAATATGTTTCCGTAGCTGGATGTAGATAAGTGGCTGAGTGGTCATTGAAAATACATAAAGTATTATCGGAAATGAATTCCTCAAGGAATTTACCTTTATTAGTAGTAACTTTCCCAAAGCGGGTTGTGTCCGTTCAGATCGCCCATGATAAGACATGGCTTCGGAATTTGATTATATAGATTTTGAAGATGTGATTGGTTAATATTAGAAGAAGGAGATATGCAAGCTGCACAATGTCAGCGCAATGTGTAGGGTCAGACGAACAGCAACAGTTTGAAGATCCGTACCAAAATAGAAGCGCCTCCAGTAGCTTTATCACCTGGAGGGAAAAAAAGAATGATAATCACTATACCGTCTTAAGTTAAAGTTATCAGTATTTTTAAGATATGTCTTTTGGAGACACAATGCTGACGGTTGAATATTTTGTATGAGTAAGTGTATTTCACTGAAGTTGTTCTTCAGTCCTCTGCAATTCCACTGAATTAGATTGGACAATTGATTCATGGTGGCTTAATTGGAGTGAGTCCACGTGAATGTGAGGAAGAACTATTCCATATCTAGAGGTGCAAATGTGTTCTGTGTTAGAACCTCAGAAGATGAAGGGACAGTAGGTTGTTTGTCTCTGTTTAATGTCTTTCCTTTCTTCGGTTTTGAATTTTCACTGACTGGTTTAGTAGAAACAGATGTTTCAGGTTGCTGCTCATGGTGATTTTCTGTTTGAGAAGCCGACGTAGATTGTGTGACTTTCGGAATATTCTGAGGGGCTGAAACTGAAGTAATAGGTTTATTTGATGTTACCCATTTCAAGTCGGTCTGACATGAAACGGAGGACGTTACTACAGAGTGAGTGACCCCAGCATAGTAGGACCCCAGCATAGTAGGTCAGGTTTGAATGAGTCTGAGTTGATGGAGTCAACATTTTTTTGGTTCTTTTTTTGGTAGGAAATATTGTTTTGGCATTTGATTTTCAATATCTGTGATTCCCGTTGATACACGGGACAGGACCTGAATGAAGCAGAATGGACACCATTACAGTTTGCGTACTTATACTCTTTCTCACAGTCGGAACCCTCATGTCGAACACCACAACGATGGCACACTGAAGAGTTTCGAAAGGATTGCGAGCCATGCCCGAAATGCTGACATTCATAACAACGGAGTGGACTGGGGACATACACATCCACTCTGCTTTTATAGACTTTGGAAGAGAGGAACGGTCAAAAGTCAGTAGGTACGTGTTGGTTTTCACGATAATTCACTCTTTCTTAATCGTGAAACGTTTCACTGCAGATACACCTTGATCTGCCAACTCTGAAGCAATGTCCTCCTCTGACATATCAGCGAGACAACGTGCTCTGTCCCGGATGAAGCCACGACAAGAGTTTAGCGTCCTGTGCACAGATACATCAACCTCTATATTTGCAAATGTCTTGATCGACAACAGATTTAGAGATTGCTGTCTCCGTGCATACTCGACAAGAAGCGAGCCACTGCGAAGACGGGTAACATTTATAACTTCTCCGCCAATTCCTGACATGGCCTTTGAAATTTGTGGTTTAAGTGGAAGAAAGTCAGAAGGTAGAAGTGCCATGATGAAAGGAAAAATATTCAGCACCCCTGCTCCCCAACCACCAAGGAGTGTCAAAAAGGACAGTTTCAAATGGCACCGGATATCCAAGATGCCAACACCAGGGATACAGGGGGTGTTATACTCCAGAGAAAACGATATAAATAGCTGCATTTGTTTACCAATTTCATGCCCGACCGGTTCGGCCCAAGACAAGACATTAGAGACATACATTATTTGGAGGTCATTATCACCAGATTAGCCCATGAGCCACCGCCTTCTGTCATAGCACTCCAGGCAAGCATATATAATATAATTTGAACTACAAACATTCAGTGTCAAAAATGTACAAAAATGTACAATAATTGCATAAGAATGTTGTCCATGCACAGGGCATGGCGTGACCAGCCGGTTGATAGAACCGGGCCAGTTGTACCACCCGTGTACTTGAAGTAAGGGCCAAAGTGGTGTGTTGGGAAAAAAGAACACGGTTCCAGGCTCCCAGAGACCCCAACCACCAGAATCCCGTCCTCCACCGACACAGGAGTGCAACCCACGGTAAACAGGTTGGTGGACCAATATGCCCCCGGGGCCACACGGGGGGGTTGAAGAGCTCTTAGCGTTACCAAGCACCCACCACGAGGAGGTGGCTCTTCATGGGTGCCATAGAGGTTATGGGAATAGCGGCAGGTGTCTCTGAACTAACTAGAATAGCTCTTAAGAATATGTCATGCCGGATGCAAAAGAAAGCATTGAAACACAATATAGTATTCCTGTTTTAGCTAAAGCAAAGTTAACTAGCATTGAGGATCACTTCTCAACAGCAATAGCCAAAGGAAAGGTATCCATGGAAGAGTTTTATTGTCGGAACTCACCAAATACAGCATAATGAAACAAGAGATTCGAACAAAGTCTCGTAAGACCAGTCGCATCAGTGGAGAAGAGACAAAACAGTTCATAGAACAGGACAGGCAATAGAAGGAGTTTAATAATGAATTGTTTTCTGGATATAAATTTTCATTGATGGCGTCCCGGTATAAATTTATATGGATGACAACAAACCATGTTCTTTGCAGAAGTTTAATCTATTTTTATTGGCCTGTGGGGGTAGAATTGGGATGAAAACGGTTATTAGTGGGTAGTGATCTAGTACCCCACTGTCTGTACTACTCCACATGACATAATGTTACATACGTGAGTTGGAATGATCACACATGCTGAAAGATAACCTTGAGCCGCTCCTTCATGAACACATGCTTGTTTCACACGTACTTGTTTCGTGGTAGACCCATTACATAATCTTACTCAAACTGGTTTCAAGCAAGGGAAACAGCATGAAGTGGATTGTGCTGATAGAAATATACATTGTATATTCCAATGGTGCACTGGGTAAGTATTTTGCTTTTAATTTACAGTGTCACCTCTATATACCGCCCTTAGATATACCGCCATGAGTTGCCAGGACGGATTTCTTCTCAATATAATTGCCTAGATATAAGACCAAACTGGATATAACGCCAAGTTGACCACTAAATCCATTGCAAGAGTTAATCATTTTCTTTTCGAAATCAGAACAAGTGAGCATTTTTCAAATAATGTGTTTTGCTATAATCAAGTACATGGTTTCATATTTGGAGAATAATCCTCTTACTGTCAAAACAGCTTTGTTTAAGCAGAAGTGAAGTTAATTGGTGTATTCATTGCCACGTTGACTTATATATGGGGATCATTCATCCTTGCTTAATTTCCATTTGATTTTACTGAATCCAGACCGTTTTGAATAAAATATTCTGCAAACTATAGTTTGGCATGAAATGCATGTGGACCCGGTTTATTGTAAATATCTCTTCATCCAATGATCCAATCGATCTCAAACTGTGCAAGTGGATGTTTTGTCAGACAACCTAATCACATTGTAAATCACCGATTTTATGCATTTGTATTTAGAATCTGTCTATGTAACTGTCAACAAAATAAACAGCAGAATGCAGACTGCTTGCAGAGGGAGGGGGCCAATGACCTGTAACAGCGGCAGTGTTGGGTCATAAAGGTAAATGCACGTGCAGTTCACGATAGTTACCTGTGCAGTGCACAGTGATAGACCGTTTGGATCATTCACATAGACGACTTTTAGCTGTCATCATGAAAGCTTATTCAGATGATGCTAAACGTTTAATTAGAAATGTGTTTAATCTTTTTTTAAAAGAGAGCAAACGTAGCAAACCGATTTATAAGGTGTCGGATTACATGAAACGTACAACTTTTGCTCTTGGCATGAAAAAGAACATCGTGCTAAAAATTTTGAAAAATAAACCAACAACCAAGAAACAAAACCTTGTACAAAAAGGTAGGCATCCAAAGTTAGATTCTTTTGACATCAAGGTCATCAGAGAAAGTTAAAACACATCCTTGCAGAGGATCACGACATTAATGTTTCTAGGTTTATGCTAAGCAAACTACTGCTCAAATTTGGATACAAGTACAAGAAGGCAGCAAACCAGGAACTTGTAATGTGTGAGAGATCTATATACATGTATATGGGTTCGAACCTATATATCTGGATGAGACCTGGGTCAATGCAAACCATACTGCTGCCAGACAATGGGTACCCACTGATCCCAGTGATGGTAGGAAAATACCAACAGGCAAAGGTGAACGTTTAATCGTTCTTCATGCTGGTTCCCACCGTGGATTCCTACCTGGGTGTGATCTGGTATTTCAGTCAAAGAGCACAGATGGTAGGGACTATCATACAGAAATGAGCTCAACAGTTTTCACACAGTATGTTGAGGAACAACTGCCAGCTCTGCCTTACAAAAGTCTTGTTGTCATGGACAGTGCTCCCTATCACAGTGTTCGAGATCCAAACAATAGGTGCCCAACTTCCAATACGAAGAAGTCAGATATGCAGCAATGGCTAACAAATAACAATATACAATTTTCAATTAAGGCCAGTAAACCACAGTTGTACTCTTTGACTAAAACCTAACGACTTGTTTGAGTGGCATTTTAGAAGTTAGACAATATACAAGTTTTATTCAATTATTTTCGTGAGGCCTTGTACCGTTGTCAAGCAACAACGGTACAGAATCTGTATCGAAACGTCGCACTCACGAAAATAGAAGTCGTTATCCATAAAACTAAACCTAACAAACCTCCACCCACATATAACATTGACAACATGCTACGCCAACACGGCCATAAGGTCTTGAGATTACCACCGTACCACTGTGATCTCAACCCAATCGAACTTATCTGGGGAGACCTTAAAAGTACAGTGGCACGGAAAAATCAATCATTCAAGTTGAATGATGTCAAGCACATTGTCAACACTGCTACATGTGGCATTGACATTGCACGCTGGCATGCATGTGTTGAACATGTCAAGAAGGTGGAGAAAGAGTACTTGCTCAAAGATGGCTTGAAGGAGCAAACAGTTTATCCAGTTGTCATTCGTCTGGACACTGATGACTCCTCTGTGGAAGAATGGAGTGAACTTGATGAAGTTTAATTCTGTTATTATATTTACAGATAATAATAGTATCCAGCCAGATATGATCAAAGAAATATAACTTCTTTTAACAATGACAGCACTGACTAATTCCAACGACTTATAGTGTAACATGAAACACTCATTTCACATAAAATATCATGAAAATATAAATATTAACTATCTATATGCTTAAAGCTATTAGAAATGCATTGCTTAATTTGGAATGTGAACGACATCACAACATAACACTTTTGTCTTCATTCTATCTTTTCTTCAATGAGTGTGAATGATTGTGTGTGCTTGTGTCCGAGGGAACGGGGCTTTAACAGTTGTTGAGTTCTAACCATAGGTGGTCCGATTAATGATTTAGTGTAAATAATATATGCATTTCTGTGTCAAAAACAAAATATGACATTAACATTACCAATTTAAACATTTTAACCTACAGAATAATTCTCACTAATGGGTTTTGTGGTTAATGTTGAACAACTCAGAGAAACAAACTCCGTATGATGGTTAACAGTTGGCACCCACCTTACCCTATTCACGACCTGTGGCACCTCTTCATATCTGTCACGTGCATAGCTGACCTACATTGACGAACGTTGACCTTTATGACCCAACACTGCCGCTGTTACAGGTCATTGGCTCCCTCCCTCTGCAAGCAGTCTGCGTTCTGCTGTTTATTTTGTTGACAGTTACATAGACAGATTCTTTAATACAAATGCATAAAATCGGTGATTTACAATGTGATTAGGTTGTCTGACAAAACATCCACTTGCACAGTTTGAGATGAATTGGATCATTGGATGAAGAGATATTTACAAAAATAATAGTGCCAAACTATAACATGAAATGATTTCAGGGAATATGTCTAAAATAATAGTCTAATTATCAGTGTCTGTATAATCACTGAAAACTTTAGAGACTATGTATATTCACTGAGTGAATCCGACATTATACATAATCCCTTAAACTTTCGGAGATTATACATAATCCCTGGCTTTACATATTCACTGTAACATATACAGCAATCAGACGCCTAATCTACTTTTGACTGATGGCATCCGCTATGTTAAGCAGGCTTGGGGTCTCGTGACGCCCACTACCCGAAATTTTTGTTAGCCACCCAGTCCCACAGTTGTGATGACGATCCAAAAGACGACATATTCCACTTGCAGACCTTGTAGGTCGTGTGCAGTGAGACATGGGCATTGAGAGTGCTATGTCAGCAAAAGACTTTCTAGAGGTAGATGAGACGATTGACACGTTTCAGTCCCTATCTGATGATGAAATTATCTCGTCAGTAACATCTGATGAAACATCACCAGACATGTTTGAAGAACGAGATACCGAACTGCCCAAGCCACCTTCCCTGCCTGAAGCCAGGAAGATGATGAGAAATGGGTTGTAATTCTTTGATTCATGCCCCACTGTAGCCAACAGTGACTTGAAAAACTGTTCAGACTGTCCACCCTGGATATACCGCCAAAATTTGTCTGGAAGGATGGTGGCGGTATAGCCAGGTTTATCTGGTGTATCATATAGGTTTGTACATATAAAACAGTACAAGTCTTTTAGAACTTGATCAAATATATAGTAACATTATCATTTCAGATGTTTTTTTATCCAAATTGCCATGCCCATTTTGTCGCTTCTATTAACATAATCAAGCGAAGACCCTATGTTAACTGTTCTTTACATAAACACTTTATTGAAATAGAATTTGCCTCTTGAAAGTAAAGAAGATCTATAAAATTGTAGGTATTTGGGTGAAAATAGTAAAATGTATTTAGTTCATTTCGCAGTATATGCTGGACATACATGGTACTCACCTGGTATTGTGAAAAGTTTGAGCACATAGCAACTGCATAATCCACTTCTTAAGGATCACATTCCTGGTGTCTTCCGCGATGATATTCCTGGAATATTGTTAAAAGCGGCGTAAAACGAAACTCACTCACTCTTTAAGATCTTGCGTAGGAACCTTGAAATTATCTCTACTACCTCTAAATTTGGTGATAGACTTGGATTTGAACAGAAGTTTAAACGTGTAAACAGTACTCGGGAACTATTTTGAGCTTTAATGTGAACGACACAATGTGACGTCTACACATAATTCCAAAAATCCGATTCCACATACATACATACATACACACACATACACACACACACACACAGACAGATACATACAAATACAGTACATACCCACACGATATACACACATGCGTACATGTGTCTGTCTCTCTGTCTGTCTCTCAGTCTATCGCAGTATATGAAGTCTTTTACATAACCATTACTTCCCATGGAATGTTATAGCTGCTGGAGTCTGCAAAGGTACTTGGGATTCCTATGAAGGGTCTTGCTACGCCTATGTGAACGACCAAGAAACGTGGGCAGGCGCGGCGGTACGTGACTGGTGATCGTTTGTGGTGAAACTTTTACATTTATTTCAAAGTGTGTACAATTATTGTCTACAACTAGCTTCAGTATTACTACTACTAATACTACTACCCGCATGTTACGCTACTATAGCATGTAATCCGAGTCGTACCTCAAATCTATTGATTCATTCTAGCCTCATGTGCAGTAAATGCCAGTTCTTCAGCCAGATCTTGCACTACAAACATGTGTCAATGACAGTTTGATGATTTCATAACAGGAGATATGTGAACGGCTCGGGGGCTACCTGGTTGAAATAACCTCATCTACGGAGAATAACTACGTGAAGCAGTTAATCAGGAGCAGTAGTGGTACATATGATTATTATGATTTTACTTATGCTAATACTTCAAAGGAAACCTTCACGTGTTCGGGGAAGGTGGGGTTATATATACTACTGGAATAAAGTAACTGTGCATTATTTGTTATGCCATTTTTGTGTTGATTTTCTTGATCACTGACAGTTGACAGGATAATATCGAAATCAGTATGATTTGACACTAGACGTCGTGGCACGCCCTTGAAGAGATGTGATGTCAAAAGTCAGTTCACAAATTCAGTATCGTGTGTGTTCACCATTGGGGTTAATGCAGGCTGGACAACAACGACGCATAGACGACAAGCGATTGAAGAAAGCTTGGTGAATGTTGTTCCATGTCTGAACCAACGCTTGTCCCAATTCAGCTAACGTCAATGGCTGATTCTGGGCTTGACGTAAACACGAGCTCGATAGTGGACAGGTCCGGAGAAACAGCTGGCCTGGGAAATACCGGAATGTTCTGCTGTCTCAGGAAATCTGTCACAACACGAGCGACATGTGAACGGTATTATCTTGCTGAAGCGTGAAGTTACGTCTCTGTCCTTGAGTGAATGGCTGCACAAGTGATCTCATCCCTGTATCGCAGACCTGTCAGACTGCCATTGACAGTACAAATTGCGGCTAACCATAAGATGTGATGTCTCCCCATACCATAACGCTATGTCACCAAACCGTCGAAGTTGAACAACGCTCGCGTCAGCATACCGTCCACCACGCCGTCTGTACACCCTTGCCCTGCCATCTGATGTGTCCAGATGAAATCTCGACTCGTCAGTGAACAGAACACCACCCCAATTGTGTCTCCTGTACCGTAGATGCCGTCTGCACCAGGCAAGGCGTGCCTGTCGGTGACGTTTGGGCAAAAATTGACGGATTGCAGCCCGTCGGGGACATGTTGTGCTCCCTTAGTCGGTTCCGTACAGTCCTCGAAGTGATTGCACGTATTCTAGGAATAGTCAGAGCAGTCAAACTGGCAGTCTGGAATCGATGCCTTACATTGGTCAGGAGAATGTGGTTGTCTTGCCCACTCGACTGCCTGTCCGAGGCAAATTTCTCGTGTTCCCATTATGTTGAAAACATCTTCATAGAGATTAAATCGAGTTTCGATGGACACTAAAATGTCTGGCCACTTCATTTTAAGCCACTTCAGTCTCCAGCATAAATAACCACGGCGAGGAAGACGCCGATTTTCTGTAAGCCGTAGCGTGACGTACGCACAGTTTGGGGGTGAAATTAACGTGTTATTCACAGCATTCAGAGGCTAGAGAATAATCATCCGTTCTTCAATTTTCAATATCAGATGTGTGAGCTTCAGGTGTCAAAAAGCAATAAGTGAATAAATTCATTTACCCGCGATACGTAACATCAAATTTCATACAAAGTGCTTTCCTATATGTTTATTTTGGGTTATTTTCATAACTTTTCAAATAACGTTTATTTTATGAGATTTTATGATATGCACAGTTACTTTTTTCAGTTAGTATATATATTTATATTGACTGACTTCACTCGGCTTGCTCCGTTAGCTACATAATGTATAAAATTCCTCTGTAAGTCTAGTAACTCTCCTCCACATAAAGTTTGAATGACGGCTGTTTTTAGGACAGGCTATTGTTAACAGAAAGTAACTATACACTTTGATATGGACACATATTCAGTGTGAACAGAACCTGGTCCAAATGGCGGGATAACTCCATGTTTTCACCATCTTGCTCACCATGACCTACATAATAATACAATATCTAGTTAACAGTCCATATTTTCCTTTGCCTAGCTGGAGACGTATGGACAGGAGGCAACGACCTGTTAGGTTTAGGAAAATGGAGTTGGTTAAACAGCGGTAACAGAATACTGTTTACTGACTGGGCGCCTGGTGAACCACATGGGAGCTCAGTTACCCGATGCATTCAATTATGGGCTGATGATTCGTATTTATGGGACGACACACCTTGTCATGAAGAAAATGCCTTTGTGTGTGAAAGCGGGTACGTATCGAAACCTGATGTCACGTTTCATTACAGTACGTGAGCATACAAATGCACATGACAATTCTGTAAAAGTGACCTCGTATAAACGTTTGTAACATGTGTTTGTTGGCAATGGCTTGGAATCATAGACCATTTTACATGCGCAACGTTACACAAAAAGACATACTAAAATTTAGATTTTGAAGAAATGATCAAGACTGACCTTGCAGGAGAATGTTAAGATGCATGTTTGGTTTAAATATTATTCCCGCAATGCTAACCTAAAATAACAAATGGCTTATAGTAAGGATGTGCTATGTAAGGATATTTCAACGGGACGTTGAACATGTTCTCATGTACGCAGCTAACACATTAAGCAGACATTTGTATATGAAATACAGCAAAAAGTGTGCAAAGATTTATAGACAGATTGGCCGTAAAAATGGAACAAGAGCTTCACCGTCCTTCGACCCATCTGTAAATATAGATTTAGTCTCGTAAGTGCTCTTTAACTGATTATATTCGTGTTGTTGCTGTAGTTGATTCAAGCATCAGATTTGAAAAGTGTGAGAAGATATTTCGTCCTACAAATGTTCATAAAGAGGATTAAAAACGCAACTGTAATCAGGGTTTGACTTATTTGAATATAGGGTTGTGATATATTTTGAAGATACTTTGATCCAATTGAAGTTTTTAAAGATGGCTCATCGGCATCTATGTGGAGACTATCATTAGGAGAAGATCGAAAGGATCCAAAACAAAGTCTTTGACCTCGATGGTGGATAGAATCAAGAAGTTTCCTGTTGCTTTTGCAGACTACACCATCGGTTAGCCACAATCGAATTTAGAACGGATAACAAAGAGCTCTGTATAAATCTTCCCCACTTCGACGAGTTGATTTTGGAACTAGCATTTATTTTTATTTAAAAAATATCCAGAGCCTTTCAATATATGCTATGTTAATAACGGTTAATCAACATTAAAAAAATAATAATAATGGATATTTTAAGCGCGCCATTTTCCACCCACTGATACATGCTCAAGGCGCTACATAAAAGCATACATACAATGCATACAGAGGATAAAATAGCAAAATAAGTATACATTGAAATTGATGACAGAAAGATTGATTTTAGGGATAGGCTTTGGAAAAAAAGAAAGTCTTCAACTTAATTTTGAAAATTTCCAATGTGCATGACTGCTTTATGTGGAGAGGGAGAGAATTCCACAGAGTAGGACCAGCGTACTGGAAAGACCTCTTGCCAAAAGAAGAAAGGAGAACTTTGGGAACGGAGAGAAGACAATGGTCTTGAGATCTGAGAGTTCTGGTAGGGGAGTACACAGTGAGAAGTTCAGAGAGATATGAAGGAGCTTGATTATGCAAACATTTATACACAATGCAAAGAAGTTTGAAGTCAATCCGGAACTTGATTGGAAGCCAGTGTAATGATGAGAGTACAGGGGTGATATGGTCTCGTTTAGTGGTAAGGGACATAATACGTGCTGCTGTATTTTGGACTTTTTGTAGTTTATTGAGATGTCCGTTGGTGAGTCCGTATAGAAGGCTATTACAGTAATCCAATCTGGATGTTACAAGGCATCTGACAAGAGTGTGGGCACTTCTGAGGTGGTAATAGCAGGTATGACACAACTTATCCACATGCGAATATGAATAGAGGCAAACGGCCTAGCAATTTCCGAGATCGTGTAAATGTTTTAAAATTCCGTATTTCCATGTAGTGTCGTATGCTTTTTTATAAATCGAAAAAGATAGACACTGCATGTTATTTATTAATTATGGCACAGATGACTCTAAAGACATTAAGTGATCAATGGTACTTCTGTTTTTCTGGAAACCACATCGTATATGAGTAAGTAGATTTTTGGTTTCCAAATACGAATTAATGGTACTGCGTTTCATGGTTTTGCAAACGCAGCTTGTTAGTGAAACTGGCTGATAATTTGATGGATCGGTATGATCACGTCCAGGTTTAAGTATTGGGACGAGTTCCGATAGCATCGCGTCATGAAGAAGGATATTACTGTTATGAGAGTGTGTTTGTAATTTGTAATATCACATTGATTAACTGATAGTTATTATGGGTCACAATGTTTAAAATTTTGAGTGTGGGTTTTGGCTCGCATCTTGCATGATGTATGTTCAATAGTAATAGCATTTTTAGCGGCACGTCTTTTGAGAAAGCGCCTTGGGGTGACCTGCCCTTGGCTGGCTTGTTTGTTTTAACTTCCGGTGTTGGTTCTTACTTATAGACTTACTTGCATCCTATAACGTTCCGAGAGGATATTGATGTAGCCTAGCTTTGCTAGAATGCTGGAGAACGGTGTAAGAGCTATATAAAGGGTGACTGTTGAGTTGTGTGACGGGACTAACACATGGCTTTGAGGACTTCGGACTTATACACATCTGTCTGCCAGCATCACATTTATCAACGTTTCAAGACCTATTCAACTGATGTCATTGTCAACAACCTTCCATCAGTTTATCTGTTCCCACAGTGAATGTCAGGACTGTTGAGTTGATATTTCAGATTTGTGACTTAATCTTTTAGAGTTGTGACTCAATCGCATTGTACTAGAAATCTGTATTCAGCAATATCTCATTTATTAATCGATAGTTTGTCTCCGTCTTTAAGGTGGTTAATGCTAGATTTAGGGCCCTTACCTTTGATTTTCTGGATTATATTCCATACCTTTGAAATCGGCGTTCGTGAATTGATTTTGGATACGTACTTTCGCCAAGACTGGCGTTTACTTTCTATATTGAAATAGCGTTTAACATTTTGAATTTTTTCCAATTTTGGACCTTTTTTAAAATTGTTATTTTGAGAATCTCTTATGCATGCATGTGTGTGTGTGTTGGTTTGTGTGTTTGTGTGTGTGTGTGTGTGTGTGTGTGTGTTTGTATGTTTATAATTTATATATATAATTTTGAAGTGATTCTAAAATATCTTTATATTCCCTACAGTACCTGTTTACCATGACTCAGAAGCTATGCTTTCCACTGACCACTCCCCATTGTCTATAAGTAAGCTTGGGTAATGAAACACTAATGATGTTATATAATTATAGCTTGGGCTTTTGACTTCTTCTAGCAAGGTAAAACAAAAAGTGATCAGTGTCCAGGCCGGGAGCAAAATAAAAAGATTAGCCATGTCGGCAAGATAAAACTGACTTTCTGAATGTGCCAGGTCGGCATAGTGAATTTCATTTCATGGATATATGTGTTTTCATTTTGAGGAATGAGTTGGAACAGGAACAATTGTATAACCAAAGTAACCATTTTAACCATATACAATATATACAATTATACTTGTTTTGCACATTTGTACATTTGTATAGACTGCCATTCTTAAAACTATTTTAAATAGTTGTGTGATCTCTACACTCGTAGCATTGTCACTTCCATAGAGGTGGACCAACCATTCAAGTTCATTCAGGAGGTTTGAGTCTGTTACCAATGAATCAAGAGCTGATTAGGTTCCTGTGTCAGGATGGAAATACGTGCAAGGACGGTCATTATAAATTCATAAACCATCGTTCGAAATGAAATGCTCCAATACTTATTGGGGATCTACCCCCTACTTTGGGTGTTGGCGACATGCTATGTGCTTTAGAATTTTAAATGATTTGGTTTGGTTTACTGACACTTTGGAGGTTTTGCCACTTATTTTCTGAAGAATCTGGCTAGGTATGCTTTTGCTTTTAACCATTTGTTGAGACTTAGTGGTTGACACAGAAGCTGATTCAAGACCAAATGGACAATCTAATAGTAGCTTTGACGTGCAAGGAAGTCATTCTGCAGTTTGAGTGAACATTGTAAGTGACATAATCTTAGGAGAATCGGTTGTGAGCAATGTCAGGTATGTTTGACAGCTTGCAGACGATTTGGTTAATCTATATGCTCATGATATAGTCACTGTTGTACAATCGACTTTTCTTTTAGCAGTGATTTCTTATGAATGTGGAAAGGGTTTTGTCGCTACTATATTTCGTTACGGTTAAGAATTTGCCGTGGCAAAAGGTTTGTGAGTCCCCTCAGTCTAAGTAAACTTATGCTCAATATTATTTTATACTGCTTACACTGAGTCTGACAAACCCTAGTAGAAGTTATGTCAGCTAACCTTTGTGCGACCTATGACCGTCCAATCAAATGCGAGACGGCCGAACGGATTTAACCAATCAGACAACGGCTACTGTTTAGGCTTGGGCGGGACTTACAAAATGCCTCGCTCACTGACACTGATCTCTCAAACGAACGAATATCCGCATAAACTACAAACATTTGACCAGCAGTATACACGCTTGGGGCTTTCTGACGACATGGTTACTATTAGCTTATATTTCCGCAAGCTGACAAAAAACGCCTTTTTTCGCAACTGTTTACTCAGTGTTGTTGCGTGCTCCATGTGCATCACTCGGAAGCGATCGTATGGAAAATAGCATTCGGAATCGTTCTTGTACAAACCCTTTCGAGGTAAAAGTTCAAAAGGTATGAGCGAATGTACAAATGTCAACTTTCGCGATTTGGTAAGCTGTGTTCTGATTGGTCCACCGAAAAGGTTAGCTGACGCGACCTTCTACATATAAATCTGACATTTGCAAACAGACTTGGCGGAAGTTTGGCAAACCACTCCTTATCATCAAAGTACAACCCTCAGTTCCAGAGATAAATATTTTATTATTGGTAGTTTAGATTAGTAACTGAGATTGTTAGTGGCTGTATCCCCCAAAGGGGGTTAAAGTATTGTAAAATCATTGTCCTCCTGAGAGGTTACGTAAGTCCCAAAACATTTCATGTAAATTTAAGTCTACCAGGTTTTTAATCGTAGTATTTCTGTCATTTTAATGAAAGGCGAAATCTCAGCATAAGCGCCAATGGCTGAAGGAATGATGCAAATCCAGCTAGGGTCCATGCAGGTAGCAAAGGTACTATAAGTCCCCATGGTCCCTAGTATGGTGATCTACCTTCAGTTGTTGGCAATCTATAGCCTGTTTAT